CCGACTCCATACTCCGTGCTAAAACTTCGCCTAGGCGGAGTAACAAGCCATGCGGGGAAGTCAGAGGTGAACACTTTGCCCAACACCGGGGTCGGTGCGTCAGATGGTCGAGCAATCATCACGCCAACATCCAACGCACGTGATGAAATTGCAGCAATTACCGACTCGAATGTCGGCCATCAAGCAATGATCACACCAAGTGTGACAATCCAGGATGAAGGGGGAAGCCGTGAATGTTCATAGGTATGCGGTAGTATGGCTACTGCATCCTATAAATACCGCAGCCCCTTGTGTAACAACCACCCGTTTCTGCTTCTTTTTTTGTCTCTGATGATGGATTCGAGTAGGAATCCGAAACGTCATGCTAATAAAGCTTTTGTCCCGGCGATCGTGTCTCCTTCTTCAAGACTTCTTCCTGGGACTCGTCTCTTCGCTTCTATCGGTCTTTCATTTTCATGACCCTATTGCGTATGGTGGCTTTGGGGCGGCGTGCAATTCCAACACATAGCTCCGCAGCAATGAGCTCAGTCGCTTTTGAAACGCCCTTCATGTATGGCAGAGAATGCCATGTCGTTCGTGGCGTTGATGTTCGAGTTTTCTGGTGGCAACCGCGTAGGCAACGACTTATGAATGCCCTCTGATAGCCATTTTGCACAAACTGGTCCCGGAGATAGCGGGCCTCACGTGTTCTGTCCTTCGGTTTGCTGCAATGCGTTTGCATCCTTTTGAGGCTCGTCTTCACACAGCTTCGCTTGTGAGCCACCGGATGCATGAGATGAACGTATGGAGACAGTGTGGACATGAGAAGTCGGCGGTGTCAGCATCAGCTTCAGTAATGGTAATGGTGTAGTTGGTGGCGGTGGCCGGGCAGGGCTGTGGAGTGAGGGCGGGGATAGGCATGGTAGGTGTGCTGGATGTGTTAGGCGTGTCGAGATTGCGGTCAAGTCCGCTCTCGTGGATACGCATGTGGCCGAGTAGGTCCATGAGGCGCATGAATGTGCGAGGTCAGTGTGGACAGTGAAGGCGGATGCGATGGACGTAAGTTTGGGCTCCAGACACTGATTCGCCAGTCTCTGTGCGATGGATTTGCAAGTGACCGACGAGGCCGATGTGTGAGGTGAAGGTGCGATCGCTATGGGGACAGGAAGAGACCAGGTGCTCGTCACTGTTGTTGATGGTGGCAGTGTTGGTGTTTGTTGGTGTGTCAGGGTTGTTTGTAGTGTCGATGGGCATGGCAGACGCCACAAAGGCAGACGTTGGAGCGGTGGAGGAGAAGGAGGAGTAGGATGTTAGTGGCGTTTTGAGAGGACGATCAAGGTTAGTTGAGGTGGATAAAGAGAGACAACGGTTGGTGCAGCCCGAGTGCTGCAGTTGGTGCGAATGTGTCCAACAAGTCCAAATGGCGTTCGGAATGTCCGTTGACATAATGAGCACGTTGAGGTGGTTGGGCGTTGGCATTGTGAGGTGACAGCGGCGGAATTCGACATTTACATGTCCCGCGTTTGACTTTGGTGACGGTGATGCGGTTGGCCTCGAAGATTGCTGCGCCTGTCCTCACTGTTCTCTTTCACGTAGATCGGTCCCAGGCGAGGTCTTCCCAGTTTGCCGGATTGATCTGCAGGCGTCTCGGGGAGGTTTTCAGAGTATCTTTGTAGCGCCGAACGTACCTTGTCGGAGTGAACCCGTTTGGGTAGTCTTTTGTCATTCATTCGCACGGGGTGGCCGCTCCAGCGTAGTTGCAGTTGTGTCAGCATAGCGTAGCTGCTGAGGACTCGCGTCCGCCCCAGTAAGTCCGTGTCTGGTATCTGGTTCCGCCACCTCATCTTCAGTGTTTGGCGAAGGCAACTGAGGTTGAAGTGGTTGAGTCTGCTTCAGGTACACCGTCCAGGGCGCCGCTCCATACAGCAAGGTCGACGGGATGTCTGCATCGTACGTCTTCAGCTTTGTGTTGAGATGGAGAACGTGACGCATCTCCTTGCATTTCTCCTGCAGTTGGCGGGTGGCGAAGATCATGTCCGTGGTCCTACGATGACGGCGGAAGCCGTACTGGCTTTTTGGCGGGAGACCTTGTTCCATGTGATTATTCGGGCGGTTCAGAAGGGTGCGAGCAAAAACTTTTCCGGTGATGTTCAGCAAGGAGATGCTTCCGTGGCTGTCGCAGATCTGGCGATTACCTTATCACTTGTTGAGGTGGACAGTTGTGGCATCCTTGAAATTCAGCGGGACTTTTCCTTGACGCCGCAACTCCTAGAGGAGTACCGTCAGATGATTCATGAGTTAGGAGCCACCGCGTTTATCGATCTCCGCAGGAATCGCGTCCGATCCGGGCGCTGCATGGTCTTGGTGGTTTCGTATATAGAGGACCGGAGGTCGAGGTCGGCGTTTGTCTCCACTTGAGGCAGACGGGCGATGGCGGCGTCGGAGATAAGGGGGGGAGGGAGAGTTGAGGACGCCTATGAAGTATTCGACCCATCGCTGTAGATTTGAGCCTTCTTGGTGAGTAGGGTACTGCCGTCGGCGCTGAGAAGAGGAACAGTTGCTTAGATTGAATGGCATTACCGAAAAAGACAAGGGTGACTGGAATGGCCATTTCTGGCTTATTAGCCGTCGTCAGCCAGTCATACCCAGCCACGAAGTATGGAACACCCGAGGCTCGATCTCGCGACCTGTTAGTTAGAAGTCCAACGCCTGTAACCACTGGGCAACGGGCCCATTGCCATTGCGCCTATATCATGCGCCGTTATGCGGGTGCAGGTTGGGCTCGAGATAGAACTCGTAAGGCACATCAGTACGAGTGATTTCCGCAAGAACGTTTGGCTAGCGCCCCCCACCATTGTATATTCCCAATCGAAACCGACAGGACAACAGGCCCGTGACCCAGTGGTTACAGGCGCTGGACTTCTAGATAACACGTCGCGAGTTCGAACCTCAAGTGTTCCATACTTCGTGGCTGGCTCTGACTGGCTGACGACGGCTAATAAGCCAGAAATTGCCATTCCAGTATCCCCTGTATTTGTCCATAATGCCATTCTGCCTATATCATGTGTCGCTGTGCGGTTGCCGGTTGGGCTCGAGAGAGCTCTTAAGGCACCACGGAACTACTGAGTTCCGTAAGAACGATCGGTGGGCGTCCCCTACCACTTCACTTGCTTTGCTTGGCGGACCGTAGACAGCTTTGATCGCGACAAAGAAGTTCTTTCATGCATTGCCATCCGCGTAACTTTGGACCTCCTCTGCCATGCGATCCGTCCAAGCGTCCTGCATCTCCCACAGCCGCTGTTGCACAAGGCGGTGACTACAGTAGATGGCTGCTCTGTTGTCCTCATTGGGGCGGGTGACGTGACTTTGTTCAGGCGGTTCTTCTCAGAAAGTAGGCTGCTGATGACGGCGTCGTTGTCATCGAATCAGCCCTTGGTTGATAGGGTTGCTCTGGGCTCGATATGCTGACGAAGAATCAATGCGTAGGCTGACTGGTTTTTTTACCCGAAGCAAAGGCTTCAGTGGACGTTTTGTTTGACTTGTTTCCGGCATAGGTGCTTACCAGGGCGGATGCGAGATTGAACTCGTGGGCGGTCCTTTTTGATAATTCGTCACCCCCGTCGCACACTCAGCTTAAGTCGTGTTTGCGCGGCCGTAGTATGCGTTCAGTCTGATCTTATTTATAAGGACAGATTAGGCACGGGATATAGAACACTACGTCATAAGCGTACCCGTCGACACAAATCCGACTTCCCGATTTTCCATTTTTGGTAGGTCTTGCAGCAAACAAGAACGTAATTGAAACTACATTGGGCTCGTCCTACAGATCAAGGTTTAGAGAACATTGAATTCTGTACAACAGATGGCGACGTTTTATTACCACGTATGTTAGAGTTTTTGAAATAAATGCAAGTTGGAGATTCGTATTCGTCCCATTTCGTAAGTTGCCCAATTGTGATCCCATATTTCCATCATACGAATAAGCAAAATTTTATTTCCACTTATTGGAAGAACGGACGATAATAAGTTCTATTTGTGACCACTGGCTTTACAAATTCGTCTAAGAAGATATCGTGAAGGGCTTGTATGTGACCTTTTGCATTTACACGTGTTTACTATCAACTGACGTATGTGACAGCATTTTGCTTATACTTTATGCGGTGTAGACACAATGTGCTGGTAAGAAAAAGGAGCGACCGCTGGAACAAGGGCTGTATTCGCCTGACGTTTCGGATTCTCACTTGAACCCATCATCAGAGACAGTGGCAGAAACGGGTGACGCGTGCACAGGTAGTTGCAGTATTTATAGGATGCAGTCGCTGTGCTACCGCATACCTATAGCAATTAACCGCGCTTCCCTTCATCAAGGATATTTGCCCGCTGGTGAGCTAGTTGCTTGATGGCCGACATGCAAGTTGCTGATTGCCGAAATCTCATCACCCTTGTTGGATGCTGGCGTGATGATTGCTCGGCCATCTGGCTTACCGGCTTGCGCGCTCCCCGAGTGGTCAATGCATTGGTCAGCCTATGCCTTAGCACGGAAGATGGAGTGGGCATGTCGTTGCACTTGTTGATAGACTGAGGTCCCGTGAACCATGACTCCAGCAACTCGCGGCTCACACGATTATCCCCTCTCGCGAGAATTTCAGCCTCATCGAAATTGAATGTGTGGCAGGGCCTCGTCGAATGGGCTGCGACCTGTGAGTTGACGCCATTTCTCCGTACAGCTGCCACGCGTTCGGCGATTCGCGTCCGGAGCAGTCCTTCAGTTTCTCCGACGTAGTTGCTTTGTCCGAAACTGCACCAGATCCGGTGAACGACTCCAGATGTTTTTGCCGTGGCAGTGGGTCTTTAGATCTCATTACCTGACGCCTCATGGTGGCCTCCGGTCTGTGTGCAAATCCAACCCCAAGTGTTGAAAGAAGGCGACTAACGGCCTCGGAGACGTTCTTGTTGTACGGGATCGCTCGCCAGAATACGGGATCGGCGCTTTTTTGTCGGTCGTCTCGCTTGCGCATGCACCGGTTGACGAAGTTGCGCGGGTCGCCGTTTTCCCTGAAAATCCGTCGAAGATATTGGGATTCGGCAACATTGTCTTCCGGTTCACTTCAGTGCGTCTCAACACGCCGAAATATCGTTCTTGCGCAACTGCGTTTGTGGCTGATTGAATGGTTACTGTTGAAGTTTAATATTTACATCGTGATCGTCGCTTTTCTGAACACTTTGGTCCTTAGGTCACCACATTCTTTGCGACAGACGAGGATATCAAGGAATGCCAGCTGGTTATGTTCTTCCTCCTCCGTCGCAAATTGTATGTCCGGTAAGACGCTGTTGAGACGTTCTTTGAACGTTGGCACCTGATCCCCTTCGATGACGACGAAGGTATCGTCCGCATACCAAGCCCAGAATTTCGGTCTGTGGTGTTGTAAGACCACCGACTCTAACCGCTATAGGACCGCCTCGGCAATGAATCCCGAAATCGGCCAGCCCATTAATGTCCCGTTCACTTGCTCGTAAATTGTTCCGTCAAACGTGAAGTTCATCCTGTGACAGAGCTTTAGGAGCTAAAGGATTTGAGCATGTCCGAGCCGATTCGTCGTTTCATTGTAATTGCTTCGTACGAGTGGGAGCGCGCAAGCTGGTAAGCAAGCTGGCCGAGCAAGCATCACGCCAGCATCCAACAAGGGTGATGAGATTTCGGCAATCAGCAACTTGCATGTCGGCCATCAAGCAACTAGCTCACCAGCGGGCAAATATCCTTGATGAAGGGAAGCGGGGTTAATTGCTATAGGTGTGCGGTAGCACAGTGACTGCATCCTATAAATACTGCAACTACCTGTGCACGCGTCATCCGTTCCTGCCACTGTCTATGATGAAGGGTTCAAGTGAGAATCCGAAACGTCAGGCGAATAAACCTCCTGTTCCAGCGATCTATTCGTCTTCTGATAAACTAGATCCTGGAACTCACACCTTCATTTGTATCGCCAATGGTTAATATCCTGCGGCATAATGCGCATTCGACCCACTACGTCATGCCGGATGGCAAACGCGACGCCCAAATAGCATGTGTCTGATTTCGGTGATCCCAATATGCGTAGTGAAGGTGTGTCAATTACGATAAAGCGGAGAATACAGTCAAGTAGGAGGGATGGTCATGGTAAGGTCAGTTTGTTTGACATCTCGGCACACACACACACACGGTGCTAAATTTGTCGACTTTCTCTGTACGTCGCTGGTGCCTTGGAGATCTAGTCCGGGGGCGTCTCACAGACCATAGCATATCGTGGAGTAATTAGTAACCCAAGACTGCAAACTCGCCTGTTCATGTATACACTGCCATGTCTGTAAAGTTTTACGTGTAGTGGTAGGGCAGCGGAAAGTGTAAAAAGACTGAAAACAACCATTTGTAAGACTGATGACGAAGGGGCTGAAAGGCGTCTGATCATCTCAAATAGCTGAGAGAGTTTTTTCTATTCCCAATGTTGGACGCCAGGACAAGTATGTTACTGCGATACATAAAAGATTCTTCTTTGTGACGCTATGTGGTAGAATACGGGTATGAATATATGCACCCAAATATCAGCTGAGCGTAGGTGGATGACTCTTGCGAGAGGCACCCTAATATGTAAATTCACAATAGAGGCGTCTGAAACGACAGCTTATCCCGGCCTCTGAGTAGAGTGGGAGCCTTTGAGGAAATTCGTTCTATCATGGCCGTTGGGTACGTGCGCCCAACTGCAGAGTTCATACAGCGCTGTAGAAGTCCATTGATTGCACCCCCCCCTCCCCTGAAACGTTGATGTGACGAATAACATCTTTTTCACCGTCGACGAGTTCGATTTTTGCAAATGTTCCCCTGCACATCTTGCAATAAAGTTTTCTCGAAACATATTCCTTGTCAGAGTTTCGTATTAACGCGAGTTCATTCCTTGGAACATATTTTCCCAGCTTGGTTGCTTGGACAGATAATTAAGTTCTGTTTCGGACTTTGAGGCGCAAAACTGCAGAGGTTTGTGCGTTTCCCCATCTATGTTTTTTTCAGAATACACTTCTATGAATAACTTCACCAGTCGGACATTCAGAAAGAGGTAACATTT